AGTTCAACGAGCTCATAGAGGCGAGCTCGTGTGAGGGATTTTCTATTTCTAAATGAGATAGGTTTGAGACGAAGTAAAGTCTCTTGGCCAAGAGTGCGTCGTATATAAGGTACAATACGTTATGTAGTGAGCTCACCTATAGCAGCGTGAAGGCGAGCAGACTGTGGATGAGCTGAGCAATTCCAGCCTTTAAAGATTTTTTATATTGAGGTCGTCCTGCTATTAAGAGAATAAACTAAAACAACACTGATAGAATGTGGATACCAAGACAAACTGAAATGAGCGACCTCAATCGTCACTATAATGTAGATCTCTGGGATACAAAACAAATCTGAAGGAATTGGTAACAATCTAACGTTTGGTATTCTTTGATATTCAAAACTGAGGTGAATCTCTTATTTGTTACAACTTGAATCATTGAGATTTTTCAAATTTTAAATTGAGATGAATCTCGAATTTGTTACGACCTGATCTCTGGGATTTGGAAATATCTAGGAGGTGTGATTTGTTACGACCTAATCCTTGTCATTTTTGAAATTTAAATTGCAATGCAAGACGAGATCTTTGAAGGGATATGGCTCAAAGCGGTTAGTATCCCTCATTTCTCCCCACAATAAATGCTGGCTCAACATTTGAAGAGACGTGACAGCTAAAGTCGGCGGATGTTACACGCCAGGCCATAAATAGCTGCCACGCGTAGGATTTTAATTAGTTATCAAAGAGGCGTGTATGACAATCATAGGCACGATCACTTAACCCCTTTGTCATTTCTCTTTCTCCTTTGGCATTTCTGTTTCCATATTCTCTGTGCTTTTCTGCAACGAAGGACTCTAAAGCTTTTCAAGTGAAGTTTTCAAAGGATTTTAGATTCAACCCTTTCAGGTAATAACAAATGGAATTTTTTAGAGAAGTTGGAGAACTCCGGGGTAACCAGGGCATGGAAGAGGAAGAGGGTGTTATGTCCGTAGAGCCGATTGTGATGATTGTACCTCCAGAACTGCAAGACTTGCCGAAAACCCCTACACCCGAGAGTAATGCCAGTTCGAGTGCACACGAGGGCTCCGGTGATAATCATTCTTCGCCATCTGAGGGGTCGTCATCAGAAAGGACTCCCAATGCTGGAAAAGATGTGGGGGAAGGCGTAAGTAGTCCCTTGCAGGAAAGCATGGAGGTGAATGTGGATGTGCCTATGGTTGCAGGTTAGGAGAATAAGACTATAAGTGGTAGGATGAGCAACCTTCGCAAGGCTCCACAGACATTGGGTGCTGGATTTAGGTTTAGGGCGAACCTTCATCATGAGGTAGCAGATAGTGCCACCTCCATTAAAGGATATAAAAGGCTGGAGGAAATAATGAGGCAATATCACGTCCCCAAAACAATTTTGCTCAGAACCGGCACTAGAAATGAAAGGGCCTGCACTAGAAATGAAAGGGCCTGCACAATGTTGCCAACAGGGTGGATACCCATGTATGTGGATCACTTTGATGACGGCCTGTGATTCCTTCTGCTGGGGCTAATTTTTGACATTTTGGCGGAGTACGAGCTAGCGTTGACACAGTTGACCCCCAACAGCATAAAATTTATTATAGGATTTATGTTGTTGTGTGCAAAGTTAGAGATACTTGCGAAGGCAACTGTGTTCAGATCGCTCTTCTTGTGTCGGTTGAGTACCACTCAAATGATGTGGTACTATATATCTGGGATAGAGAAAATGTCGATTTTACCAACGTGAGGAATAAGGTATCCAGATGGAAGGGACAATTTGTTTTTGTCTAGGATACACAAATAGAGAGGGTCAGCAACGATCTAGCAACTCGTCTCTCTAGATGGCACTTAGGGCATACTTACATGAACTATCCCATGATAACTCCTGACAACCTGGAGCTTAAGGATAGAATAACAAACTACGTAAAAGCGGAGGGGTTAGTTGATTTGGAAGCTCTGGTTACCCTGAGGTGCTCGCTATGCACGGGTTTGTGGATGTTGCAAACCTGTTCAGTGAAGGTACATTTCTATTGTAAATTATAATTTTTCACGATCTGAGTCTTATTGCATTTGTTTGTGCACGAGAGATGAGTAACATGCTTGAGAGACAACATGAACGGGCTCAACGCTCACGAGCTAGAGGGGTTGGGTCTAGCATGCATAGGTAAACGCGCTTTGACAAGCAGCCGCCTGAAGCTCCTCGTAGCTCGTCACAAAAAGAGCAAGGCTCAAGCTCGGCTTCACAGCCACACGCCGAATGTAGAGTAGAAGCCGTTTCTGTTGAGACTTGGAGGTGTGCTCGTGAAGATTCCGATGCTGAAGATGATGTACCACTGATTTGGTGCAGGTTAAACTCTGGGAGTCAATTTGGAATGGTGTGTTCACCTGACGTGCCCACTGCCCCAGCATGTGATACTGCTGAGGCACTGCCTACACCAGCACCCAGCATGGGCCCCAGAATCACATACCCTAAGGGTTTTAGCTATACTAAAGCCGACTGTCAGCTCGCCATGGTTTAAGGTACGCAGAATTTTGTTCCACCTGCTGACCATTAACACGCCAAGGGTTATATTTAGCAACACGAGAGTCACACTGCTATGTTAAAGCTGATGGATGTAAGTATTTTTGCTAAACAATCATGTTATTTGTTGTATTAATTTTGTATTAAACGATAACTATAAAAATGTTATTACAGGCGTTAAGCTATTCGGTAGCTTTGTTTGAGAGTGAGCAAGTAGCTCGTGGGCAAAATTGCGAGCTGAGTGACACGTGCAAGCGGTTGACATCTGACAAGGTGAGCTTGGAGGATGAGGTGAACCGTCCGCAAAGCTCAGAGATGGCCAACAAGGCTGCATCTTCTGAGAGCCGGGCTGATGAGTTGGCCAACAAAGTCAACCAGCTAAAGGAGGAGCTGGAGAAGGTTCAGGCCGAAAAGGAGAGTGGGATCCAAGCAGCCATGGATAAGGTCATTCATGCGGTGGATCGCACAAAGAAGGCTGAAGCTGAAAGAGACAACGCTCTGAACAACCTCAGCACTCTCAGACAGCGAGTAGCAATGGCTGACCAAGATCTCGCCCACGTAGAGAAGGGGCTACGGAAAGCCAAAACTTAGTACCAGAGCTGCAAAAGCATTGCGCGAGCTTAAGGAGTGGTGGTTGGTAGGTGTCGATATGTTCAAGGATGCCGTAGCTGTGGCATCCATGAACACCACAGCAAAAATTTATAATGACATTCATGGAAAAGTATTGAATCACCAACCAGACTTTTCGATCAACGAACTGGCATTTTTTTAGGGTGAGGAATTTGATGAAGAGGGGAAGAGCCTTGCTTCCCCTGCTGATACCACCGTGCAGCTTAGGTGGGAGTGTAGACGACCACTTAAGATTTTTTCAAAATAAATTGAAAAATTAAGTGTGAAAATATAAAAAAGAGGGAATCGCCACTCGTCCAAATTATAAGGTGGGACAAATCACCTAAAATGGGTCTGCGTAGAGATCGGAGATCGGGGGTTCGGTTAAGAGTGAGGAAGGGCATACACGCACCTTACAATCCTCCGTTTAAACACGGTTGCATACTTTAAAATTGGGGTTTTAATTCAACTTATTCATTATATTTTTGTTTGAGTCTTAAAAAGCAAACTTGAAAAAGAGATAAATCGAATCAAAACATTTTTTTTTAATTTTTGGATTGAAATAGACAATCAAGAACATGCATGCACAATAAACACAAATAAAATTTAAATGGACTGATTTGATTAAAATAAAAAAAATAAAGGACTGATTTGAAAAAGTTTAAAACTTTTGGACTAAAGTGCTTAAACATGAAAAGGTTGTGCGAAATTGAAATAAAAGAGATAACTTTTGATTTTTTTACTTTTTAACCTTTTTAGTTTTTTTTATTGGATTGGGTCGGGTTGATCCATCCAAAAACACGAACCCACCAACCAAAGTGGGCAAAAACAGATTAAAAGCTAGACCAAAATGAAATTTGGACAGAAACAGAAAGGATCTGGATTTTCTGTTCGGCCATCCAACAGAACAGAACAAAGAAAGCAAGTAAACATCCATTCCAATTCGGATCCATGAAATTCAACAAACATGCTTGATTTCATTTGCAGTATCATCATCTAGTACAGTTTTAATAAAGCAAAACTCTATGAGAATCAGAATCAAACAAGGTGAAATTTCTGGGAAAAAAAGCAGATTGAGATCCGAAGGGAGGGATCCCACCCACGGGATCAAGCTCCCTTCTTCTCCCTCACGGCTCTTCCCAAAAATTCCTCTGTTCAGAAATTACCTAAGGCAATGAAACCCAGAAAATGAAACCAGAAAATGAAGTTCCTCTGGAAGCTCGGTGATCCTTCCTCTCAACCACCGTTGTTACCCCCTTTCTTCTCCAGTAAATCCCCTTCTATTGCTCTCAAAAACTCAGACGAAACTCCCCAACAAAGAGACCCAAAATCAACCAACCATCCCCCTTTTCAATCTGATTTTTCTCTATATATATACCCGAATAAAAGATAAAAATAAAGATAAAAATAATAAAAAAGCCTTGCTCTGTCAATCAATAATAATGCTGATTTGTCTGGAGCTGCTGTAGCGTGCAGAGGCAGAGCAGCAGGGGTGCAGCAAGGCTCGGTGCAGGGTCATGATGTTGGCACAGAGTGCAGGCGTGCAAGCAACGTGGGTTCGGCGCAGCAGGCGGCAAGGGGATCTGGTGCTGCAGAGGATCCGGCTTTTTGGCAGAAGCAGGAGCGCAGGATCAAGTGCAGGTGTAGCAGAGTGCAAGGCACGGGCGTGCAGGGGCGTAGGGCGCAGGCTCGGTGCAGCAGGGGGCGCAGAGAAAGGAAATCTGGGTGTGATCGGGGTGCAGGCTCGGTGCAGTAGGGGCGCAGGGGCGCAAAGGGGAAAGTGCAGGCGCGTTTGGGGGTGATGATGATTCGGGAGAGAGAACAGTAAAAGAAAAAAGGAAGAAGGAGGTTATGGAGAAAAAAAGATTTAAATGGGAAAGTTAATCTTTTTTTCTTTTCCTTTTTCCCTTTTTTTTTTGGGTTAAATGGGTTTGGTATTTGGGCTTTTGGGTAATTGTTGGTTTTGGATTTTTGGGTAATTTTTGGTTTTGGGATTTTGGGCTTGGGTAGTTGGTAGGCTTTGGGTTTTGGGTAATTGGGTTTGAGTTTGGTGGGTTTTGGATTGGGTTTGATGGGTTTTGGGCTAGACTTTGCATTTCACCCCTCCAACTTTCCATTTCTTCAATTGAGTCCTTTTTCTCATCTTCTTTTCCAATCTTCTTCGTAAAATTTCCTTTTTGCCCTCCCTTTTTTTTCTTTGAATGAACCTAACAAGGAAAACAAAAACAAAACATATTACTAAAAATAAAAATAAAATAAAATTCTACTAAAATTTGAGTTATGACAGGGAACTAAACGAAGATGGAGTGCCTATATGGCCTCCATCCGTTTTAGAAGAGGGAGAAGATTTTGAGAACCTGCCTAGGTTCGATTCCTGGGTGGGTGACGCACCTAAAGAAGAAGCTGAACCCTCAAGCACTCCACCTGCACCTCAGCTCGTCCCCATTGCTACCATTCCCTCTCCAACTTGTGCTGACGCGTCCATTCCCATTGATTTAACGGATGATTCGGATTAGGTTTTATATTTTCCTTTTGCCTTTTTAGTTTTAATATTTCCATGTTTAGGATAGATTTTGTACTTGCTCTGATATTACATGTAGCACATTTGCAAGAAATACAACTAGACAATTTTTTGGAATGTTGTGTGTATCATTTGCATTGTATTCATACATTGTTCATCCTTTCCATATGTTCAGCAACAATACAAATTAACTATAATATTTCCTAAGATTATGAACGTTCCATGTGAATGGTAGTTGTCAACCTTGTGAATCTGCTAAAATGTAAGACCCAGGTTGTTTGATTTGAGTAACCATGTAAGGGCCTTCCCAATTAGGAGCGAGCTTGCCCATGTGTGAATACACATTAGTGAGTCTAGCCTTCCGTTAAACTAAGTCACCGACCTGAAACTGGCGAGTTCGTACTCGCTTATTGTAAAACCTGGTGTCGCAGCCCTGATACACCATGTTTTTAATCCTAGATATTTCCTTAACCTCCTCCACTAGGTCTAGGTTTTCTCTTAGGAGTTGCTCGTTATCAGGATGATCATGCCGGACAAATTGGTTAGTGGATAAACCTACTTCCACAAGAAGAACGGCCTAAGTCCCGTAAGTAAATGAGAATGGGGTCTCTCCCATAGTCCAGCTGGGACTTGTACGGCATGACCATAACACCTTATTGAGCTCGTCAACCCAATTGGAGTGTGCAGCTAGGACACGTGTCTTAAGTCCTCGTAGAACGATCTTATTAGCCTACTTTGCTTGTCCATTGGACTGTGGGGTGTACACAGACGTAAGGGAAAGCTCAATACCGTAATCATTACAAAACAACCTAAGGGCCGTAGCTCAAAATTGAGGTCCTTTATCGGCAATGATTCGTTTAGGAATACCGACCTCTACATAAACGTTTTAGCTGAGCCACTGAATCTGTAAACACAATATATAAGATTTAATTAGCTAAAGAATACCTGCATAATATGGAATTGAATAGAAATTCCTCAATCTTCCTTTCAGTTGTCGTGGATAACGGTTTAGCTTCTATCCATTTAGTAAAGTAATCCACAACGACAATGAGGTGCGTACAGCCTCCTTTGCCTTTGATAAAGGGTCTGAGGAGGTCAACGCCCCATTGAGCGAAAGGCCAGGGTGATGTGAGAGAAAATAACATTTCCCCTGTGTATGAGGATATTTTTGTTTAATTTAAAGACAAGAGCGGGGGTTATGCAAAGCTTTGGACGAGTTCAGATACATGGCATGTGAATGTCATCAGCGTTGAACTGGCAGGTCAGACACTTTTTAACGTAACTCTATGCGTCTTCGAACATGGTAGGCCAGTAAAACCCCTATCTTAAAATTTTTCGAGCTAGGCTCTTTCCTCCTATATGCGTGCCACATACTCCTTCATGAACTTCTCTCACCACATACTCAGCTTCATAGGGAGTTAGACAACGTAGTAGGGGCATTGAAACCGCTCGTTTATACAACTAATCGCTAATTAGGGTAAAATGTGCCGCCCTACGCTTAACCAATCGAGCATTAGATGGATCCTCAAGCAATTCACCACTTCGCAAGTAATTAATCAGTAGCGTAGTCCAGCTCGGCCATGAGGGATCTATACTCAACACTAGGCATTCATCCTTCAAGTCAGTGTAGCTCGGTGCATCAAGGATTTCAACAATTGTCACCCTATGAGGATTGATATCGTGCGACGAAGCCAGCTTCGATAACTCATCAGCTCGTCTATTATCTGCCCTTGGTATCTTATCAATCCGAAACGAAATAAAGCCCACCTTCATCTTACTGACCACAAAGGCGTAGCGATCAAGCTAAAGGTCTCTAACATCACAACTTTCGTTTACTTGGTTTACTACAAGTTGGGAGTCATTGAAGACTCTTATGTGCTACGCTTTCAGCTCGGATGCTAACTTCAAACCATAAATGAGTGCTTCATACTCAGCGACATTATTCGTGGTCTTAAAGCTGAATCTCAACGCGTGCTCAGATTTAAAACCATTTGGACCTATTAGCACTGCCCCTGCCCCTAATCCTTCAACACTCGTAGCCTTATCTACAAACAAAGCCTATACCGATCCTGCCGGCAAGGCTTCTTCTACAGCTAGTGGGTGACACTCCACTATGAAGTCTGCTAAAGTTTGACTCTTGACGGCTGTGCGTGGTTGAAATTTGAGGTCATATTCGTTCAGCTCGACCGCCCATCCAATTAGCCGACAAGAAAGCTCCGGTTTCTGCAATATCTTTTTTAGTGGTAGGTCGGTGTAGACAATAATTTCGTGAGATGGGAAATAAGCCCCAGCTTTCAGTAGTGCAAATGAGTGCAAAAGTAGCCTTTTCAGCAATAGGATAATTCCGTTCTGCACCTTGCAAGACTTTGCTGATATAACAGATTGGCTTCTATTGTTTATCTTGCTCTTTTAACAGAACTGAACTGATTGCCTAATCTGCTATCCTCAGATAAAAGTACAACCTTTCTCCTTCAACAGGCTTGGAGAGCAAGGGTGGTGATGCCAAGTATTGCTTAAACTCATCGAAAGCCTGTTGGCATTCATTCGTCCACTAAAAGCTTTTTGGCTCTTGCAAAGCTCTGAAGAATGGGAGGCACTTTTCTGCAGACCTAGCTATGAATCTGTGCAAGGCGGCAAGACGACCTGTTAGACATTGCACATCTTTCACTGTCTTAGGAGGTTTCATCTGCTGCACAGCCACAACCTTATCCGGGTTGACCTCAATTCCTTTCTTGGACACCACATACCCCACGAACTTGCCTAATTCCACAGCAAACGTACATTTCAATGGGTTTAACCACATTTTTGCTCAGCGTAGGTTTTGAAATGTTTCATTCAGGTCATCAATATGATCCTCAGCTCGCACGCTAATAACAATCATGTCATTAACATATACTTCAATGTTTCTACCGATTTGAAGCTTAAATACGACCTGAACTAACTTTTGATATGTTACACCAGCATTTTTTAAACCGAATGGCATCATAACATAGCAATAAATTGCATCCCCTGCGTAAAATGTTGTCTTTTCCTAGTCATCCAACCACAATTGAACCTGATGATATCCATAATTAGCATCCCAAAAACTCATGCATTCATGACCAGTAGCTCGCTCTACCAACTTTTCAACATTAGGCAATGGATGGGGATCCTTAGGGCATGCCTCATTCAAGTTGGTGAAGTCAATGCACATCCTCCACTTGCCGTTGGGCTTCTTGACAAGCATGGATTGGACACCCATTGTGAGTAGTTAACCCGTTTGATAAAACCTGCTTGCAACAACTTTTGTACCTCTTCATCTATTGCTGCTTGCTTTTCCGGGCCCATAAGGCTGCGTTTTTGCATCACTGGTCTTCTGGTCGGGTCAATGCTAAGTGTGTGGACTGCCAACACTGCCGGAATTCCAAGCATTTCATCTGTTGTCCATGCAAAGACATCTTGGTTAGCTTTTAGGAACTGCAGGAGCTCTATTCTCTCTTTCTCTGTGAGCTTAGTTCCAATTTTCACCATCTTCTCTGGATTACCGGGGTCTAATGCAACAGTTTCTACTGGCTTAACTGGTTTGGCTTTCTATTCAACGTACTCTGAACAATGGTCTATGTCAGAGATGCTCATCGCCTGCAGACCCAGTTGGTTTGGTCTAGTAACCAGAGAAGGAGTTTTTGGCATTGCAGCGGGATCAACTTTCTTGAAAGTGTCCTGGTAGCATGCTCTAGCCATTTTTTGGTTTCCTTTGAGCACCCTTATTCCCTGAGGGGTTGGGAATTTCATGCAGAGGTGTGGTTGGGAAATGACAACTTTAAGCGCGCAAAGTGTGGCTCTCCCAATTATGGCATTGTATGCTAACTTCATCTTAACCACCAAGAAGCTAACGGATGCCATCCTAAACCACGGTTCCGTACCTACATAGATTGGAAGAGTTATCACCCTTTCGACCGGAACAGGCTGAGTATCAAATCCATATATCGACCTTTCATATCTCTGCATGGAAGTTGGGTTTAATTGCATCTTTTAAAAGCAGCTCCAATATAAGATATCGGGAGAGCTACCTGTATCAATGAAGACTTTATTGACATTATGATTGCCTATGTGCATTGTTGCCACAAAGAGGTCTGCATGGGGCATCACAATATCAGGCTTTTCCCCTATCCGTTTATAATCAGAAGGATTGAATGTGATGGGTGTGTTCTCCCATTCCGCTTCTTCAAATGGTCGTTTTAAGGGTCCATTTTTATTTACTATCATCACTTGTCGAGCATAAGTCTTACGATCTCGGGCACTTTGTCCTCCTGAATGCATGCCACCAGAAATCATGTTGATTGGGCCAAACGGTGGGGGTATCTTGCTGTAACCAACCCCTCTATGATCTTTTTGATGCCGTGCAAAAGTTTTCTGTCCCTGTCCTCTTTGGTTAAATGGGTGTCCTCTGTAGGTTCTAACGGATTCAGATGAATATTGATTCCCCTGGTAATGATTTTGGTTGCCGCCAAGCTGATATCTTTGTCCCTAAGATCGGGAATATTCCTGCACAAAGTGTGTCTGATTGGGTTGCTAGGCATAAGGTTTATGGACGTATCCTTCCAATTTTTCATTGCGAGCTAAGAATTCCAGCTCGTCCTTCAAGCTCTGATAGTCATCTGTGTTATGACCATAACCCCAATGATAGTCACAATATTTGCTCCTGTTAGCTCGTGGATATTCATGCATCTGAGGAGGTGGTCTTTTGACCCAATGCTATATTTGTGCCAATATTTGAGATCTTGACAAGCTCAGTGGGATATAATTGGCATATCTTGGGAATGATAGTGGCTTCCCTCTCTGCTTGCCCACCTTCTGCTTTTTCTTCTCTTCCCTTGCTTCAGGCTGTTTATGCTTCTTACTTTGTTTATCATCAGCTCGCCGTTTAGATGATTGGAAGTCTTCTGACAATATGAAACTTGCTGACCTATCATTTACTTCATTCCACGACTTAGGTGGATTCTCCAGCAAGTCATCTAGGAACCAATCAGGTTTCAAGCTGTGCAGTAGGGCTGATAAACAAATGGTATCAAGGACATTATCAATGTCCAAAGTGGCTTTGTTGAACCTTTGCATATAGTCTCTCAAAGACTCTCCTTCCCTCTGGTGAACTTGCATTAATTCAGTAGTAGTACGCTTAATCTCCCTTTGGCTCGCAAATTTGTTAGAGAACAGCATGGCAAGCTAGGGGTAAGAAGTTACAGAGTGCCTGGGTAACTTGTAATACCATCTTCTGGCAGTGGACTTCAATGTTGTGGGGAATACTTTGCACATCATTGCATCGGTAGCATTCTGAATCTTCATGATGGCTTGATAAGTATGTAAATGTTCATCCGGGTTGCCGGAACCATCATATGTCTCTAAATGGGGAATTTTAAATCCCTCTTGATATGGTTCCGTGGTAATGGATTGATTGAGAGGAGCACTGTCCAAATCTAAGGCTTGCTGTCGTGACCTTGGACTCTTTAGCTCATCAACAGAACTCTGTATGTCTTTTAACTGCTTCTCAAGTTCTGTGTTTTTCTTCATTAATTCATCACTGTGTTTGGACAAACTGGGCTTCGGATTTAGCCTTCCACTTCCCTTTGGTTTGGTTTGGACCACCACATTACTTAAAGCTGGGGAATTACGGGTGGCAACTATGTAGTCGATTGTTCACCCCTATTTAGTAAAGGGATTAAGGGGTCATTAGGGATCAGGCGAGAGAGGATTTTTCCCATGGCCATTTCTAAAACTCTGGTTCTTTCTTCTAGCTTAGTCATCCGAGCAGCTTCCATGGATCTCTCAGGTGGCGAAGCGTTTTGCCTGGAATGCCTCCGCCTGGCTTCTGCTGGGACATGCAACTGTTCTTCAGGTTGGGTTGCATACCCAATGGGTGTTCGTTCATCATCCGAAGTATTTGATTGTTCTTGTTCTGCTCCTCCCACGAAAAGGTTTCTCGGCATTGGTTGGAAGTCGTTCAAATCACTTTCCAAGAGATGAGTATTGTCCTGCTCGTCCATGTTGCCTCGTGGGGGTTGGTTTCCTGTGAAGGTTCATACCATTTTCAGCTCGAGCTAGTTAAGTCGCAGCTCTTTTTTTTCAATTTCCCACAGACGGTACCAAATGTTTGAGCAGCTTCGCGATCCAACACTGTTGATACCTTCAGTTGCTTCAACACCTGAAATTCCTGAGGATGTTTCCTCGGGAAAAACACTTCGACGCTCAAGTTAGCAATACTCAATATTCTAGAGAGAGAGGATCTCAAAGAGTAATTGTAGAGAGAGAAGCGTAGCAGAGTTAATACTTTGCATAAAGGTAGTTGGTGGTATTTATAGCCCCATGTACTAATATGAGCCTGCACGTGCGTGCATCCCATTGGCCTATGTGTCACTGCCCATGTGGGTATGTCTCTACAATTTGGGTCTCGTGGATGTGTGACTAGGCTTATTGGGCATGGCCCAGATTGAATGTTGGGCCCAATCCCAACAGAACTTAAGGAGAAGATATCAAACATCAATACATTAGATTTGCAAGCCAAGGAAATTCCAGTTTAGTTGGTACGAGTTTCAATGACACTCAATATTTTTCAACATGCTTGGATTCTATTATACAAGAAGGTTGGGAGATTCTCTTTTCCTAATTATAATTTCCATCGATAATTATAGGATGCGTTTGGGATTGATGTGAAATGTTGTGATCGTGGCTGTGACTGTATTGAACTGTACTGTATTGTAATTGTAACTGAAAGTTATTTTAGTATTTGGTTATTTATTTTTTAAAAATATTATGAATGAAATATGATAGATTTTATTAATTATTAATTAAAATTTAAAAAATATTATAAGATATATGATTATTAAAATAGACAATATTTACTATTTTTTAATAATTTAAGTTTTTTAGATTTATTATCATTATTAAAATATTATAAATTATGATATAATTAAATTATAAAAAATAAAGTTTTAATGAGTAATTTTATAATTATATTAAATATTAGGTGTTTTTCTTAAAAACCACAATTAAAAAGTTTCAAAATGAAGTTTCTACATAAATATCTAAAAGTAATATGGGGTTATACAAAAAAACTCCCAACCGCAAAATTAAACGCACCCACAATTTTCATAGATAATGTTAAAGGATTATTTTGAAATTCTAAGGAACTCTTAAATGACACTTTGGTTTACCCTCAACCAACATATACATTCCCAGAAATTCGTTATTTTTTTCCATTTTACACTTTCATGATTTTATTTGGATGCACATTATCTTAAATCTTTTTTGACAGTTTGTTTGCTCTTGCAACTTAGGGCCTGAAGAATTCATAAAAATATTACAATTAATGTAGCAAAAACCATCATAAACATAGCTTTAATCCTTGGCGTACAAAATTGCGCGTTTCTCGTTTTGAGGAGCGTTCCTATAATAGTGCTGCAAGTACTCCCCTACTATCATCTTCCTGTAGCCGTTACTTTTATTAGGAGCATTCTCAATGGGCTTGATCTGAGTTTGAGGCGATGGGTTATAGAACAAGGCAACCGAGAACCTATCCCCATCAGATTGTGCCACGGCCCTATGCCATGGGCTCTTGACCCTCCCATTGCTCATGATTTCTAACAAATCTCCCACAACCACAATTAGACTATCCTTCGGCCGAGGGATAGTGACCCATTCCTGGCTCTTCAATACTTGGAGCCCTGCCGTAACGCCAAATTCCATCAACAGAGTAAGGCTACTGGCATCGGAGTGAGGGGTTAGTCCTAGTGCTCTGTCGGGACCTGGACATGGCGGATAGTAATTCACTCTGACATTAATCTCACTAAGAATGGGATCAAAGTTCTCGACAAAGCAATGTTTTTCTAGAGATAAACCTTCTGCTAGGGCCTTGAGCAATTCATCCAATACAATCCTTGCTTCTGATACATAATTTTGCATGAGTTCCCTGCCATAAAAAATGATTAAAAGATGTCTTATATAAAATTAATTCAGGTGGCTTAGACTGGTGGAGACAAATTGGAATGTTAAAATTTACAAAACATTAGAACATCTGAAGGCATGGTTTATATCAAATAGATTCTTTTTTTTATTATTATTAATAATATAAATATGAATACCTTTAACTAAACTAAACTCATAATTACTTATAAACTACTTGTGGATTCATTTTTAAGAATGACAAGAGTGATTCACTGAAATTGTTTGCACCCAAATGAGACTAAAGGATTGGAAGCTGCATTCTCAAATATAGTTCGAATCCACCCTTATCGCTTGAATCAAATTGTGAGAAATTACAAACTAATCCACAATTCTTAAAGATCAAATTTAATTAGAAAGACAGAGTTTGAACTAGACTCTTTTGGATCTTACTCTGTTTTGCTCTGTTACAGCAGCCGGTAGGATAATTTTTGTAACCTGCTGTTTTGCTGTTCGTGTAAGTAATGGGCTGGAATACCCCTAGTATTCCAACATCAATATACCATTTGCTTTTCAAAAAAAAAAAAAAAAATCCACAATTCTTAATTCCTAAGCCTTCATATTTTGCAATCCCTCCACGAATTGCAAACGTCTCAGCCCAATCAGGGCA